CAATATATTCTCTTAAACATTTGTGTGTGTGTGTGTGTGTGTGTGTGCATGTGCACACTTGTGAATGTGAAGGGCAGAGGTCCACACTGGATGTATTTCTCAATCACTTGCCACATTAATCTTTTTTTTTAAGAGTTTGTTTTAACTTTATTTTTATCTATTTATTTATTTATTAAAGATTTCTGCCTCCTCCCCGCCACCACCTCCCATTTCCCTCCCCCACCCCCATTCAAGTCCCCCTCCCTCATCAGCCCGAAGAGCAATCAGGGTTCCCGGCCCTGTGGGGAGTCCAAGGACCACCCACCTCCATCCAGGTCTAGTAAGGTGAGCATCCAAACTGCCTAGGCTCCCCCAAAGCCAGTATGTGCAGTAGGATCAAAACCCCATTGCCATTGTTCTTGAGTTCTCAGTAGTCCTCATTGTCCGCTATGTTCAGCGAGTCTGGTTTTATCCCATGCTTTTTACACTTTAATCTTTGAGACAGAGTCTCTCAGTGGCCCAGATCCTACGCCCAGTGCTGAAATCAAGAGAGTATGCATACTGCTGAGTCTCCAACTATCACCACATACTTAAAATAATCTTTTTTTTTTCTGAGACAGGATTTCTCTTTGTAACAGCCCTAGCTGTTCTGGAACTATCTCTGTAGACCAGGCTGGCCTCGAACTCACAGATCTGCCTGCCTCTGCCTCCTGAGTGCTGGGGTTAGAGGCGTGCGCCAGTACCGCTTGGCTCTATCTAAAATGATCTTACTGTTGACTGCCTACAAGCCTGTTTGTCTCTGTGATGTGGAGGATTATGTGCTCCAGGCTCTCAGGGCCTAATACTGCTTTTACACAGAATGAATCAATGAATCAATGATGCCCCTTGGTTACTCACCACAATAATCATGCCTGTTCGCGAGGCCTCTGGCAGCCCAAATCTCAGCCATGCAGTTTGCTACTCCACGGCCATCCAGCCTCGCTGACTTAGGCCATCTAGATCGTAGTCAAGAAAAGTGGCCAGTTGATGCTTCTTGTTTGGGAATCTCAAGGTATGTTTAACAATATTTTTTCTGATCTAGACATGGTGGCTCAGTACTTGTGAAGATCAAGAGTTCAAGGTCGTCCTCAGTTATGTAGTGATTTATTTAGGAGCAAGCCCAGGCTCCATCTGCCACCCTATACATGTTATTGTTATTTCTGATTTCCATGTTGTGAAAAGAGTCGGCACATAGGTTTGTTATTAAATAACACTGAACATGAAGGGGAGAAGATGTTCTCCTTTGACTTGTCTCTCTTAGAAATACTTTCAAGATACAAGAATATTTCAAATATATGTAAACATACCACAAACAATATAATGAGTGGCCATAACTTGCAATCTATATTTAACAATTCCAAAAATTTAACAATATTTGCTTCAACTTTAACAAACAAAGCAAACCCCATAGCTGTCATCATAGCTCCTTGCCTTCCACCTTTTCCTCTTCTTCCTTCTCACTGACCAGTTGGCGTGCGCCCTTCGGGCCTGTGCCTGTGTTATCACATACTTACTCCATAGATAAACAGCAGACAGGTATGTTTCCTGGCCCCCAACAGAGGCATGAATGGTCTCCGCTCCCCCAGTCCTAGATCCTGTCAGGAATAAAATGCCACCTTGGCCAAATCCTGAATGCCCATGCTACTTGCTATTCTCTCTTTCCTGTGAGTTATCATCATGTGTCTAAAATAATCTTGGTTGCTGGCCTCTTGCTCCATGCTTCTTCTTGTCTGCCTTTGTGAGGCTGGGCTTTCATATCCCCTGGTGGTTTTCTGGAAGAAACTCAGAGTCTGGAGAAACCTATTGTCAAACTAACTGTAGTGGCAGAGATTTTATTTCCATTATGTTTATTTGAATGATTTCCTTTCCATAAGAGTGTGTATGTCTAGTGTTGTGGAGTATTCACCAGAGAAGACTGCTTGGGCATGGGTTTAAGCCAATAGAAAGTCTTTATTAGCCAGCCAGCAACTATACTGGGTGTTCAGGATCCCAGTGCACCCCTAGCCTTTCTCAGGGTGAGCTTTTTAAACACAAAAACCATGTCCCGGGTTGACAAACTTCAGTTAGCAAGAACAGTTGGCCAGAAGCAGGACTACAAAAGCCCCAAAGCAAGCACATTTAGAGACTATCCTAGAACTATGGACTTTGATGGATTAGGCCTTTGTTGTAGTTTTGGCAGGTGGTGTGGTCTACATTCTAAGTTTTGCAGCCTGAATGGTACTTCAACATGGAGTCAGTTATGTCAAGGTCTGGTACCTGCTAAGGTCTGGGGCCCTATTAGATCTAGACTTCTTTTTATAGTAGTGGCTTATGTTTTCTTTTAAATTAGACAAAACAAAAGAGTTGTTGATAAGAGCACAGATAGTATTCAGAGAGAAAGAAATCAGGGCATTGTGCTGAACAGTTGAAATCTGATAACCTGGCCTAAAGAGGAGAGTTTGATGCTCCTAAACAGGACGTGCATGTGAAGCTCCCCCTGGTCCTACCTTGGCTCTCCCCTGCTCCCAGGAGGTACCACCCTTCACCTGCAGCTGCTTCCCTTACTCTCTAGGGTACATTTCTTTGAAGCTGTTTTCTGGATCCATCACTCCCGCCTAAGCCTGGCTCTCAGGCGTCCTCTCTGGCTCAGAGGTGGGGCTTCCTCTGTAGCAATCACAGTGGTGTGTGCTGTTCTGAACCAATTCTAGACCCCAAAGTAGAATTTTGTGCCAGTTATTAGGGTCAGGGGAGAAGATCATTTCGTGCTGTTTCACTTAACTCTACACTTTTCAGGGAAAAGGTGTTTATCTCCTATTTGCAAGCTTGAAGTTTCAAAAACCATCCTGCTTACAAACCTCAATACCTAATCTAGAATTATTTTCTTTTACCTGGACACATGCTAACCTGCTGCCTAAATGAAGGGTGAGAAAAAAAAATGACACACGAGGGGCAAGCAGTAGTGCTGGGTAAAGGTGGCTTTGGTGCCTTTCCTTCACAGTGATTTAAGGCTCAGCACGGATTACGTGAGCTGAATGACTTCATTAGGAATTTCAAATAGAGACCTTTAAATATCTTTAAAAAAAAATACTCAGCATATAGCCTTTAGTGGCCCAGCTCCCAGACCACTGCTGACATTTGCATGTTGTGGGAACCGCACTTGAGTGTCAGGGACGGTTATACAAGGCATGGTCCACCAGAGTGAATTCAGGCCCAAACAGTCCAGCCAACACTAACGGCATTAGCATGGGTTTGTTCCTTCATCCACCTGACGTATTCTGAAGCTCATATTTAGTTTACAGGTCATGATTTAAAAAAGTAGCAGCGGCCCAGGCGTTGGTATACACTTGTAATCTGAGTACTTAGGTGTTTGCAGAGGGGTGAGTTCAAGGCCATCCTCAGCTCCACAGTGAGTTAGCAGTCATGCTGTGGTCAATGAGGTCCTGTCTCATAACCAAACCAAGCTAACCAACCAATAAAATAAAGAAAAGGAACCCTTTACCCCACCCCAAAAAAACAAAACAAAAAGCAAAGTAAAAACCAAAACCCGCAGTGCACTTGGCCTCTTGTCTCAAATGTGGAAGAGAACACTCTCAGAGCTGTTGATGGGCTGAAGGGAATGGTTAGAGTTCAGAATTAATGTTTTCTTTAAACGTATTTTGCGTGGCCAAACCAGGAGAGAGAAAGGTCCACGCGGGGGTTGGGGAAGTGACTTCACTCTTTTGATAGCAGAAAGTCCTGTTACCACTGCAAACACGTAGCTTTTGAGTGAAAAAGCCGGCGAAATCAAATCGCTCGCATGTCACGTCTTATTCTCCCTGAGCCAAACTTTCTCATCAATCTGTGTGGGTCACCGGGGAAAAGCCGCAGAGAAGGAAACGCTGCCTTCGGCGGCAGTGTGTCGCCCAATTAATGTCGGTCTGGGAGTTACCTGAAGCCTTCGAGCTACTGCACCCAGGGAGCAAGCCTCGCTTTTCAATTCGGTCATTTCCATGGGGAATTGCGGCACGCGCAGGTCCTGGGTGTGGCGATGTCGAGATGGAGCTCACATCTCCAGGCTTTCCACCTTCTGGCCAATCTACACGGCTGAGATACTACGGATAATCCGGGCCTGCCTTCCTGCAACTCCCGGACCGCGAATGACCGCGACCCCGTGACCACTGCCCAGTGCCAAAGCCAGGCTGCGTGCTCCGCGCGTGTGAGCTTCTCCCCAACCGGCTCTGCGCCGGGAGGCGGATCCCCTTCCTTGTGCACAAGTCCTTATATGCACCGGTTGCACCGGCCCGCCTTTACTCCAGCCCCACAAATAATTAATGGGGGAGGAAGGACGCTGCTGTCTTTTCCCGCTGCCTCTCCTCACCAGCCTTTTCACCATTAGAGCATCTCAACCCAGTCAAGAAACCCCAAGATGCGATCGAAGGGCCATTTTGGTGCATTGCACAAATTGAACACGTTAAAAAATAGCCTTCGGGTTCCTGCACAGCGAGGTTCAAGATAGTCTCTTCCGATTCAGTACTATTAACCCGCAAAAGCTAGGGCGGAAAGGGTGCGCGCCCCTCCCCCTCCCTGGCTAGTGCGGAGGGACCCGGTCAGGAAGCGCGGCCTCTCCCCAGTCGGAGACCACGCCTCCGCCCCCCCCCCCTCCCAGGAAGCGGTGATAGACAGTTCTGTGGTTCTCCACCCCCACCCCCCAGCTGAGTGGAGGAGTTGATATGTCTCATTATAACAGCCAATGCAGCCGCCATCCACGCACAAGCAAAGAAGCATGTCCCATTTAAATACACCCACGCAGCCCCAGCGCCCTTAGCCGATCAGGGCGCGCAGCCCACACGCACCGCGGCTCCGGGCTTGGAGGTCCGCGCAGGTCGGGCTCCGGGAACCCGCGGATCGACGCTCACGGAAGATCGGAATCCGACTCTGGTTGGGGGCCCGGGTGGGCGGGGGAGGCTGGGCCCCGGGCCTCTCTGGCGGACAGCCGCATGAGGACGCGAGCGAAATAGACCAGGGTGGACTTGTCAAGGCAGACTCTTCGGGCTGGTTTGGTCCATTTCTCCCGCGAAGAGTAGACATGGCGAGCGACTCCCCAGCTCGCAGCCTGGATGAAATCGATCTCTCCGCCCTGAGGGTGAGTAGAACGTGTTTTTTTTCCTTTCTTTCTAATGGTCTGAGGCTGGGCGAGGGAACGTTCCCTGGTTTCCTGTTCTGATTCCGGGGCAGCTGATGGGGTCCTAGGCTGAGCCTCTACCCCTACAGCAGAGGCTGGGCTGCCCTTGTGCTGCTTGGCTCTTCCCGAGGCTCCGCAAGGAAGCCAGTGGAGCTTATGTCAGTTTCATCTTCGGTCGGTGTAAGAGAATTGCATGAAAGGCGTGTGTGTGTGTGTGTGTGTGTGTGTGTGTGTGCACCCGAGCAACCGTCTCCTGCCAAGGCGCGAGACCCGATTGCTTCTTGCTGCAAAAAAGAATCTCCTCTAGAATAAAGGTACTGGTCCCTCAGGTTTACCAGCTACCTGCAAGATGCCATCGTGAGTCTAGCTGTCCCCACCAGCTGACCCTGCCGCTCCAAGAGGGCAGTAATTGTTGTACTGGGCTGGTCTGGTAGATGGCAACTGACTCCCTTCCCGGGTTCTGCCTCCGTGCGGGGGCTCAGGCTCGGCGCTTCCCTAAACGCCAGGATACACTCACCTTTAGCTACGGTTTGAACTCAACCCTGCCCATGCCTTTCTAACTCGGTGACTGTGACCTTTCAGTTTTATGGCTGAACTTCAGCAGGTGAAAGGGACGCCTTAGCAGCTTCTCCTTACCACACCGGAACTCCCTGGAGAGACTGTGTGTGCGTGGTGAGTGTGTGCGCGTGGGTGTGTGTGTGTGTTTCCCGGGTCTGTGACCAGCCCTTTGTAGAACATCTTCCCTTCCCCCAGCTCTGCCGCTCTGCCTCTACCTTCTCCCCAAACACCTCAGACGTCGGTTTCATTGTATTGAATAAGACTTTACTGATCTAGAATCCATTTTGCCGTTGTTTGGAGCTCATACTGCCAGGAATCCCTTTGCAGCCTAGACGCTTCCCCACCCCCACCCCTAATCCCAGCACACTCCTTTGGGGAAGGGAGCCTAGCGCTCTTGCCATTTTAATTAGATACTGCCTGCCAGGAAGGGGGTAAGAAGGGGTGGTGGCGGTGGCAGCAGCGGGGATCTGAGAAAGATTGAACACCAATCTCAGTACTAGTTTCTTCCTCTCCCGAACTAAAAATAAAATAAAGAACAAGTGCATCTGCTTGATGCCCGGAGGGTAGCTGAGACTGAAGGGATGGTGTCACGTCACCGACTGCCAGTATGGGTGGAAGGCCAGTGGTCCTCAGGAACACACTGTTGGGCTGATGCTAAATCTCGGGGCCATTTACCTGTGTTTCCTGCCCTTACCTCTTTCTCCACAGACGTTTTAAAAAGCTAGTTACCTGTCGATCGAAGTGATACTTTTCTTCGGGCTCTGTGAGCCTCTTTGCTGCCCGCCCACACCTTGACTCCTTGGCCCTTTGCTTATCTTTTGGTCCAGGGAGGTGAGGATTCAGAGAGGCAGTGCTCAGGTTGAGTACTGACTGCCCTTTGAAACGGGCTGCGGCGATAGTGGAGCAGCAAAGGCTCATTCATGCCTGAGTACAGTACGCTGTCTGTTCCTCTAATGCCCAAAGGCCACATCAGGAACCAGTGGGCAGCTGAGTGTGGGGGCTGGGAACAGAGAGGCAGCTTAGGACAAGTGCATGTATAACTCCCTTTTACCCACTGCCTGCTCTTCTGCTCTGCTTGGAGCTGGGAGTTGCTGAGGGTGAGTTGACCAGGTGAACCAGTGGCCCCAGACTTGAGGAAGGAGGAGTGGCTAAGAGGTAGCGACCTGAACAATGAGCCAGGCTTGTGATTTAGCTGAGGCAGAATCTTAGCATCATTCTCCCTGACGTGATTTTTAAGTTGGGGAGGGGGAGACTGGCTTCTGTGGGCAAGCTTTTCTGAGATGCCAAGTACAGAACCTGTCATCACAGCTACTGGATTCCCACTCAGGGAGACCTGTGCCCTGTAACCTGTATTTGGAACAGACAGCTTTTCATGATTCACTGGGATTGATTGCTCTTTGTCACTCAGGAACCTCAATGAGTTCTCTGCCTGTACTGGGGTATGCAAAGAGCTAGGACAACAGCTACTCCCTGGGCCTGGGGAGCTGCTGGCTGGAAGACTTATGCAGATGGGCAGACAGTTGTACTCAGCAGGCCTGGGGCTTCAGGCAGTCTTGTGGTGGGTGAGGTGTGCAGGTAGGTTTCTCTCCCAGGGCTAGTGGGTGGGCCGCACACACATCAGAGCGTAGATGGTGGCTGGCTCCCCAGATTTGGAGATTGCTGGTTCCTAAGCTTGCAGTTAAGCCTGAAAGTGAGCACCTCCTGAGGAAAGGCCTGACCCCTGAGATGCAGGCAAGGTCAGTGAATCAGCCTGCCAGTCCCTCTGTGATCCTGTGGCTCTTTAATGTACACAATCAATGCTCTTTGTAAACCCTGGGCTTGGTGGTTAAAAGCAGCTCCTGTCTAGAGAGGCCTTTCTCCTTCTGACTTTGGGGACTCATTGTTCTCAGCCAGTGATCCCAGACTGGGCCCCGTCTAAAATTCCCCCAAATAGGAACAATGCTTAATTCAAACCAGAGCAGCCAGCATCAATCCCTATCATTTAAATTCTGCAAGGTTTGGGTGGTTGTTGTTGTTATTTGTTTTGTTTTGTGCATGTGAGATGAAGTGGGGTCTCTCATTAGAAAACAGATTATCAGAATTCAATTTATTGACTCCTCATCTCAGAGCTCCTGAAGCTCAGCTAGATCTCGGGTGTTGAGTCGGGCGCTGTTTCATAGCTGGAAGCTAGAAGAGATCTGGAGAACACGGGGCCCTTCCCCTCATGTACCCTTCGGGAGACTGAAGCCCAGAGAGGTGAAATCTGTTGTCCAAGGTCACACAGCCAAAGGGGAGATAAAAGTAGCTGAGAGAGAGAACCTATGGTTCCCGACTCCTCCGTCTTCCGAGGTGTATTATCTATACTTGAAAAGGAAATCAATGAAATGTTTTCTGCTTGGGGCAGGGGGCAAGAGAAGTGATTTGATCAGGGTCAAGGAATATTCTTTTCTTGAAAGTGGAAAACCTGCTCGAAGCAGAGAACTTATCAATGCGAATGACCAGAGCTATTAGGCACCTTTGGAATGTATCTGTCTAGCCTACTTCCAGTCCCTTCTTTGCAGGCAAATGGCAATCTAAATCACGCAGGACAGATGGCTGTCCTGCATGGACAGCTTCTCTCAGCAGCCCGTCTCCATCTGAACATGTCCCAAGGGGTCCGTCCAGACACACACATTACTCTGTGTGTCTCCATGGCTGCTTTGTGTAGTGGCTGTACATGTGGGTATGACATACAGTATTATAGACATAAACTCTACCTATGTGGTGTATGAAAATGTGTATACACACACAAGGACTACTGCAAACAATCCCCTTATTCAGACCTGGGCTTGAGTCAAGTCTGCTTCAGACATCCCTGTATTAGAAGATGAAATTATCCCCCATGATGCTCTGTTGCCTATGAGGGGAGCTCAACACTGAAAGCTTTTTGGAGGTTACTATGTTTCTGAACTGCAGCACACGGACTCTCTTCAGCTTTGCCCATGGTGTCAGCTTTTCAAGATCAGGGCACTGATCCCATAATTTAGCTTGGGGCAGGACTCAGGCATACTTCTCTGCTTGAACAAAATTAGACAAAATTAAGCCCACCATTCTCCACCCCTCCATGGCTCTCTGGCCTAGCTACTCTCTCTCCTCCTTCTCTTCTCCTCACCATGTGTGTGTGCAGTGTAAGCGTATGTAAGCTGCTATATGCAGGTGTGTGAGTGTGTGCATGTGTGTGAGTGTGTGCAGTGTAAGCGTATGTAAGCTGATGGTGTCATGCATGTGTGTGAGTGTGTGCATGTGATCGGAAAGGCCAGAGGTTGAGGTCAGGTGACATTCTCTGTTTTTCTGTACCTTTTTCAAAATTAAATTTATTTTTTTTATATTCATGTATGCCCATGCACAATGTGCCTTCTGGGACCCCGCAGAGGCCAAAAGTGGGTGTCTGATCCCCTGGAACTGGAGTTAAGGATGGTTGTGAGTTGTCATATGAGAACTGAACCCAGGTCCTCTGAAAGTGCAGCTCCCCAGGCCCCCTCTGCTCTCACTAGACCTGGGACCCACCGATGGAGCAATGCTAGCTTGTCACGAAGTCCCAGGAATCTTCCTGCTTCCACTCTCCCCCATTTCCATCATTGCCGCAGACAGCTTTTCAGTGTGCGGCTGCTGGGGATCCAAACTCAGGTCCTTATGCTTGTGTGGGAAGCACCTGACCAACTGAGCCGTCTCTCCAGTCCCTAGCCATTTCTCTCTCCATCAACACCCAGACTGAAAAATTAATCTCATTCAGAAAGCTTGCACATATGTCTTGACTGCAGTCTTCACGCCTGTGTTACTAGGCGTGTGAGGTTTACTTCTTGCCTCCTCATAAGAGGTTTGTCAAGGGCCGTAGAGTCATTTGAATTTAGATGCCTCATTGATTAAAGAAATGATCGGATGGGTGAATGAATGCGTGACTGTATGCATGAATGAATGCGTGAGTGAGTGAGGGGAATGGTCACAAGCTTCTGGATTCTCTGTGCTTATCCCATAAGTTCTGTGATTTGGGTTGTGCCACTTGGGTGTTACGGGACAAAGATGGAATATCAACCATTTGTCTTCATTACCCTGGATTCTAAAAACAAATACTTTAGGGCAGAGCATTTAAGTCACAAAGAAACATACAAATTTGTCATTAGATAGAATTTTATGGGTAACTCAGGCTCACCAACATTTGATCTCAGTGACTACATCTAGTAGAAAATGCAGAAAAATGGTTTTTTTTTTTTGTTTTTGGTTTTTGAGGCAGGTTGTTAAGAAACAGCCAAGGATAGTGTGGAGCTCATTTTGTAGCCTAGACTGGCCTTAACTGCGAATACGTCGGCCTTAGCCTCTTGAGTGCTGGGATTACGGATGTGTGCGACTATGTCTGGTTTAGAAGGCACATCTTTGGAGTGTATGTG